TGCGCCTTCCAACACGACGCCATATTTGAGGGAGATGTGACTACTACAGCGCCGAAGAGCCTGTACAATGAAACGAAGTGGCCAAAGTTGAAAATAAAATTTATCCCCCGCATCCACCTCGAAGTGAGACATATATATAGTTATAGACACACGTATGAATATACATGTACGTCAGTTGATGAATGATTACCTATTTAGTCAGTTTTTCTGTGTGGATATTCACAAATTGTACGTTTGGTCACTGAAACAACTGGATTGAAAATATTGAAATAAAAAATACATATTGTTTCAGGAGTTTCTTGATGTTAACACGCTTTATATTTTAAAAGCTATTGAAATTCGCAGACAGACGTGGCGGTGCGATGAAAGCGTTCCTGATTGGTCAATCAAAATGGATGCGCAACGCCACACATTATATTATATTCTTACATCATGGCTTCCACCGCGCCGCCATGTCTGTTTGCGGATTTCAAAAGTTATTGAAATATAAAACATATATTAGCATCAAGAAACTCGTGAAACAATGTATATTTTTTGCTTCAATACTTTCATTCCAGTTATTATAGTGACCAAACACCCAATTCGGCAATATTTGCACAGAAAAAACTGAATAAACAGGTAAACGATGATCAGTTTACGTATATATGCACAAATATATAATTATATATATCTTAATTCGAGGTGAGATGCGTGCATGTGATAAGTTTTAGTTTCAACTTTAGCGGCTTCGTTTCATTGTACAGACTCTTCGCCGCTGTAGTAGCCACGTCTCCCTCAAATATGGCGTCGCAATGGAAGGCGCAAAACGGCACGAAAATGAGACGTCGGAACGGCGCACCGCGTATTTTTACATCATGGTATTAGCTAGTAGCTACAGCTACATAACGTTGCGTTCGAAAATTAATCTATTTTGCAATATGTAAATATTTCTTTACCTCAAAACTGATAGAAAATGCTTCTTTCTTTTACTTCTCAAGTTGTAAATCATGCGGCCGGTTTTTTCCGGAATATGCTCGAACATTTGAATGGAAGTCGACTTACCTCGCAGCTGGTTTCTGTAAGTTGATTCATTTCTATACCACAAAAAAACCTTATAACTTGTCAATGTCAATATTTTTAAACAAGTTTCGAGGGTACAGACGTTGCTTCCCGCGAAAATGAAATAGGGCTAATTTGAAATAAGTGAGGAAAATACAGTTACACAAACGTGTTTTGCAAATGTTATTGAAAAATTTTACGAGTGTTAATAGAAAAAAAAAGGCAAATTTACTAGTAGATAAAAAAACGGTTCTAAACTTTGATCACGACTCAACAATTACGATTTACTGCCACGTAGAATCACACTGCTAACGAACGTTATAAGCTGATGAAAACTGAATGCTATAACTTTCTTCACAACTTCACGCGATATACTATTATATTATGTGTGCTTGTGCTTACTCTGACAATGTGTGATANCGAGTCCCAGAATAACATATATATTTTCTATATGTAAATCTATAACACATTACTTAATGTGTATTCTCGGTGCCACGGACTACGAGCCAAAGGAGAGAGAAGAACCGAAGACCATAAAAGGGATTGAGGAGAGCGAGGTCAAGGTCGAGTGCAACGAGAGAGCAGCTGAGGTTAGGAAGAAGGAGACGACGACGGAGACATATAGCCAGTGAGACGAGCAAAGAGAAGCGCGAGCGGAAAAAGCGGCAATAATAAGAAGAAAGGTGCATTTTAAAGGACTATAAGTGAGGTTATGTTCGTACTGTGTGCGCAGATATATGTATATACGTGTATATTTTAGTGTGAATCGGGTCTTCTGTAAAATTGTAATGCGCCGGGAATATAGGAAGTTGTGTATATACGTGTAAATAAGGGGAAGAGCGAGACATGCGCAAGCTAGGTCGTGTGAGTGAAGTAGGAAAAAAGAGAGATAGAAGAGATTTCGAAGGATTAGGACGCGAACAGCGAGACTGAGGGGACTCCTTGACGGGCCTTTGAGAGGGAAGGATGTAGAGCGTGTGCGCCACCGAGACGTTGCTCAACCTACGTCCGTCACCAGCTCTTGGCGATCTATGGCAGGCATCATCTGCAGCCTGGCTAAAGACTACGCAATCACGAGGAGCAGCATGGCAGCGGGCGACATCGCGAGGACACGATGCCAACAACTTCCTGGAGATGGTGGTCTAAAGGTGTTTCGCGTAGTGTGTGGTGAGGTTAGAGACTAGTGGGAAAGTGAGGGAGAGGGACATAGTATGTGGCTTCGAAGTGAGGTTGTGTGAGTGTAGGATGTTTCGAGGGTAAGGGTAAAAAGCGAACGTATGGATGAGTGTGTGTGGTTGAAGATACGAGGGACTTTGTTGAGGTTGCGAAGGAGAGTAAAAAGTGTAAATGAGGGGTCGAGGTTGCTAAAAGAGTGAGAGAGCGAGAATTCGTTGGTTCGAGAGGAAGACGNTCTATCTATTTGTTGTCAAATCATTATCACACAGGGGAAGACAATCACACGTGGTATAATATACTACGTGCATCATGCGTGTGATGAGGTGTTTTCCGCAATCGTTACCAGAGCAAGTAATTTTCGGTAAGTTGCGCTCTACATTACCGTCAGATCGGAAAGTCAACTATATATTATATCCAGGCACGAGGCACAGAGGCTGCGCATTGTGAATGTAAATATTGCGAACACAAAAGTAAGTATAAAACAACTTTTACAAGATTTAAGGTGGCTCTAGTGGCCTCTATGTTAAAATTATAAATAACCCAACCGAGGTTAATAAAATTGAAGTATATTCTTTGAATTCCCATCTTTCTATTCGTATAAAAAAAAATTAAGGTTGACGATGAAAATTGTAAGAAATCATGCTTACAAAATCCTAGTTTTAAGACGGGTTAGATAGGAAATGCAAGCTTACGCTATATACAACCTACTGCTGCACTTATATAAATAACCCGTAAGGTGTAAAAAATATACTATCTTGTATATATTATTACGCAGTTTTCGATGACATGAGAAAAGTGTCTTGTTATAGAACAAAATCTTTAAATAATCGGAGACTAAGTATACAGTTGCGAGTACAAGTCAGCTCTCAGCTGTCTGCATTCTGCAGAGTACATATATATAGGTATAACTACTCTTGAACTTAGGAGCGTACCGTAACAGTTCATCAATTAGGGCACCATAAAACTTTTTTGTTTTTTTATTTTAACTCACTAAAGTAACAGATAAAATGTAGTATATGGCTTACAACAGTCTCTACGATAATTTTATACCATATTTTAAAGAAAATAATGATTAATTTTTAGTCTCCCCATTTTGATACGGCACTAGGCGCTAGAGCCACCTTAACAAAACACCACGAAGTGCTATCGCAGGCTTGCAGCTGCTCTCAGTTTTCAGTTTATTAGTGATATTCGTCGATATCGCAATGTAAGTTTCGTTCTTTCAGTTATTGTTTGTACTAGTTTTTGCTGGCAGCCTGTTACTGCAATTTCCCTGTTTACCGACTAGTCGTTTGTTATACTGACTCGAAATTTTTTTAAACTTTTTACTAAAATCAGTTTCTAAAATCAAAATACGACTTCAGAGTCTAGTTTCATTGAAAACAAGGTGTCTGTTGTACAGAATGCAAGAAAAAAAAAAAATATTGATCTCTATCAATTTGAATTGAATCGCCCGCCGAAGCTTTGACTGGCATTCTCCAGACTGCAAGTTTCCCATGTACATGTAGGCACCCTAAGTCACGACCTCTATCATTAGTAAACTTACTATTCAAGTGTTATTTTTACTACTGCAGTTGTACTTATACAAGCGCATCGTAATTTTACAAACGATATTGTAAAGTCACTACTGTATTTGTAAAAGTACGGCCGAAACATCAGTCGTACTCTGGTATTACAAGCGTCGTTGTAAACTTACCACCCTTTTGTAATATTACATTTTTTTGTAAATATACTACATTTCATATGGGTCGCATTTCTGTCCAACATTAAATCTAGTAAATTTACAAAAAATTTTTTACTGTGTACGTAGTATATTTACTACTGATACTGTACTATTACTTCTACTATTGTTAATATACTACGCCAAGCATAGGTAATATTATTTCCAATGCTTAGCGTAGTAATTTTACTACTATATTTTTTACTGTTTACCTATTACGCAGTATTAAAATTACTAAGGAAGTTGTAAAATGGACTACAATCTGACTTGTATATTTACTACATTTAATATGGGTCGCAGTTCTGTCCAACAAAAAATCTAGTGAAATTACAAAAATTTTGTACAACTACGAAAATTTTTGTAATTTTGCCAAAAAAATTGTACTTTTACATTATTAATAATGAAATTTCATGTAGTAAATTTTTACAATTCGCTAGTAAAGCTTTTTTACTGTGTAATTTGATTGGTTGGCTCAATTCACTTTTGCCGTTTTTTCTACCGTGTCGTCTGCTCCGTGCTTGTAAACACTCAAAAACCTTCATGCGTTCCGGTGTTTTTTTTTCAAGATCTTTCCTCAGCCTCCATCAGCTCCGGTGAGAAAAAACTTTGTTGTTATTGCCTGTTAGTACAACACATGTCATGGATGTCTACCAGGATGAGAAGATCGAGCTCGCTGCAAGAAGGATTTTTATCGTCTCTTTGATTGTAAGTCGATTGTTGTTAGAATTGTGCGAGGTTACAAGAATTTATGATTTTTTAAAACCATGCATTATTATCTTTTAAAATATTAATTAACTCGATTTTTTTCCGTAAGGATTTTGATTTTTCAAACCACCATATACTTGCAAACGTTGTTGCATCGTTAACATCAATTTTTATGACAGTCAGGTGGTTTGGCCGGCACTTTAGTGGACATTGCATTGTTTCCCATTGACACTCTTAAAACTAGATTACAAAGTGAAAGAGGCTTTTTGCAATCTGGGGGTTTTAGACAGCTGTACAAAGGATTGTCGCCAGTTATATTAGGATCTGCACCTACAGGTTGACAACTCTAATCTTAGATTTTTTATAAAATTGTAAATAATCTTAATCCATGGTTTTGGACTTTTACAGCTGCTCTATTTTTCGTTACTTACGAGAGTTTAAAAATGTTACTTGAGCACAGAGTACCAAAAGAGTACTCTCCACTTGTTCACATGGGTGCTGCATCATTTTCGGAAGTAGTAAGGCAATATTTTGTTTTTTAACCATGAGACTGCCATTTATACATTTTGTATACTCCCACAGGCGTCTTGTCTCATTCGTGTACCTGTTGAAGTTGTGAAACAGAGAAAACAAGCTTTACTGCCAGATCACAGACATTTCAGTATTAGATTGCTTTATAGAGGATATTGGAGCACAGTCTTGAGGGATATGCCCTTCAGCCTTATTCAGTTTCCTATCTGGGAATATTTTAAACAAGTATGGGGTGAATATGCTCAGAGAGCTATTTATCCTTATGAGGGGGCACTTTGTGGGGCAGCTGCTGGAAGCATTGCTGCTGCCATTACAACGCCTCTTGACGTTGCCAAGACTAGAATAATGCTGTCATGTAAAAGTGTTGAAAAGTCGTCAGAGTTGACAGTGTGGGAAGTTTTATCGTCGATTCACAGAATAAATGGAATAAGAGGGTGAGATGATGAGAGTTTTAAATATTTTTCCTTTTTACAAGCTATTGAAATTGTGCTTAGTTTGTATAAAATTTTATTTCAGCTTATTTTCTGGCATAGTGCCAAGAGTTACTTGGATATCTATTGGGGGTTTTATTTTTTTTGGAGTGTATGAGAAATCTAAAGCATTACTGTCGTAAAACTCAATGTAACAAGTAGACACTACTGATGACGTTTTGTTGAAATTACAAAAATCAGAATAATGCGCTACCTTACTGTGATCATCTTTTCTCAAATCAGTTGATAGCAATGTATTTCCTATTATATGTATACGAAACATATTATGTACATTCTTATAATTTTTGCGTTACTTTTGTTAAATACTTATTGTTGAGGTTGCATCAATGTAAATGACGAGAAAGCTGACTTACCAAAAAAGTTTTATAAAATAATGCATTTGATTATTATATGAAAAATTTTACATAAAAAATATATATATTTTACAAATACTAATATCATTATTGTTTATGCCCTTACCTTGAATTTTTGCACAAGTATATAAAAAGTTTCAACAGCTGCTTAACATATTTATAAATGAATATATAAAAATTTAAACAATAAATGGTTTTTTTTCACAGCTTGGCTTTCAAACTTTTCATCATTGTTTCCAACTTCATGACTTTTTGGAAATTACCAGTGACTTTCAACTTACCCATCATAAAAGCCGTTGCCGGTTTCAATTTTCCTAAATAAAAAAAGCGTATTGTTAACGTAAAATTTGTAATTGAAATTATAAAAAAAAAGGTGTTTTACCCGAAAACATGTCAAAGAAATTGTCAGAGGTCATGGTCAATGTGGCATCTGCTGGTGCTTTAGGTGGATCACCTTGGCCACATGATCCACTGCCATTTTTAAGATCTAAATACCAAGTACCGGGTTCATTACCTGAAAAAAAAAGAAATTTGAGAAAGAGTTTTGACAAACTTTTACAAACTATGACTCATACCTTGAACAACGAAGGTGTAGACAGCATCGGTTTTATTAACAAGTTCAGAATTAATTTTTTTCTCAATGGCAGAAAATATCCTAGGAATTTTTTGAACACTTGCTGTTGTCTGAGTTTTTTCAGCAGCAGCTCCTATTATTCTCGTATCAGTGCTATTTACATCCAAGAAGAAGTCTAACATCAAGTTATCCGCGTTTTCTGCAAGTTGGCAAAAATTGTATATAGAATTATCGCGTTAATCAAAATCGTTATACAACGGAAATACCTGGATCACAAGCATACTGTTTTAAATCAGTTATTCCTTCATTTTTTAAGATTTCTTCATCAACAAGAAATTGCCCGGTTACAGTTTTACTATTTTTACACATTAAAGCATAGACAGCATCAGACATGATTTCAGGCTTTCTACTAGTTCTCATCGACTCTTGTCCTGCTAACATTTCTATGGCTGCTGTGTGGATGGCTACATGTATTTGTAAATAAAGGTCATTTGTATATGGGTATACTTCATACCTTTACATAAGGATAAAATATTCATTGAATGCACTAGTACAAACCAGTTTTGGGCCATACAGCATTAACAGCAACTCCTTGGTCCTTGAATTCTTCTGCCATGCCCAAAACACACATAGACATGCCATACTTTGCCATGGTATATGCTAAATGATTCTTGAACCAAATCGGATGCATATTCAGTGGAGGACTGATGTTGATTATGTGCGGGTTTTTGCTCTTTAGTAGATGTGGTAAGCACATTTTGGACCTGATTGATTGAACTTTAAAGTGAGAGCTGTATTTTATACTTGTTTTTATGAGACAAAACATAAGCACTCACACAAGGAAAGTTCCTCTGGCATTGATGTTGTTCATTAGGTCGTATCTCTTCATGTCCGTGGAAAGAGTTCCTGTTAAAGAAATGGCACTGGCATTGTTGACCAGAATATCAATGCCTCCAAATTTTTCCACTGCAACCTTGACTGCGCTTGACACTTGGTTTTCATCTCTCACATCAACAACACAGGGTAGTGCCTTACCTCCGGCTTTCTCAACTGCCAAATTGAAAATTTTGACATTCATGATCGCATTTTTTTATGATTATTTACTTATTTTGAAAATCCCTCCTAAATTTATAAGAATAGTATGGTTTTTACTCTAGAGCGACATTAGTGCCCAATCAAGCAATTAGGCACAAATTTTTAATAAATCAATAAATAAATATGAGATTATCAGCAGTAAATTATTATTACATGCAAGAAAATCGTTCTAGTGAAAATTCAAGGCTTGAATAATAATGTGAAAAACCTTCATCAGCTGCTGAATAAATAGTTCCAGGAAGCTTGGGATGCGGCTCGGCAGTTTTAGCCGCCAACACAATATTAGCTCCATCTTGAGCAGCCTTGAGGGCAATGCTTTTGCCGATTCCTCTAGACGCACCAGTGATGAAGATGGTGCAACCGGCCAACTTCCTAAAATGGAATTCAATTACGAGCCTCCGAATCAACAAGTGCTTTCACACACTGAAACGCATACCAACGAAAAAAAATGTATGTCAAACATATTATGCTGCTCACCCTGTGTTGATCATTTTTCCTTGATGCTTCTGTTAATTTTGGCTGCAGTCAGTGATTGTGGCTGCTATGCTCACTGTGCGTACACTATATGTACTTAGATCGAGAGAGAGAATCAAAAAGAGGGAGAAAACTGCAATTCACTCGACCGTTTAATCAGTTGTATCCTTGTATCCAAGCGAAATTAAAAAAAAATAAATAAAAAAAGAAACAAGTGCTGAGGCCCGAGTGTGCGAATAGCTAGACTTTGTATGCTGTGCGATGACGTGTAGATTTATTTACATATCGAGTTTACTGTGCACAATATACCTATACGCGAGGGAATTTGATTGGACGGATGAAACAGCTCTGATCATGCGTGATTTGAGAGACAATTCAGACAATCAGAATCTCATGGACCGGGATTCCTTCAAAAATATCATGGACTTTTTTCAAGGATGATAAAATATGTAATAAATCGGAAAATAGCAATTTCGTTAATTGAAAAGACATTGTAGATGCCATCATGATTTTTAATTTGTTGTAAAAATACTTTACATCCTTGTTCGTTTTAAAATATTCATGACCTACACAATTCATGAGAAAAAAAAAACAACAACAATGCCTCAATTTGAATTCCATTCCACAGAAGTTGCTGCATCCAGCAACTTGTCCGCAAGTTGTTTAAATTCTTCCGACCCTTCACAGTGTTGCAAGACATTAGGCGATAATTTTTCATCGCCATAAAACGCACCTGCTATTGCACCCGTCATACATCCAATTGTGTCTGTGTCTCCTCCCAAACTTACCTGAATTAAAAAGAACAAAATTTCAATTTTTTTTTTCCAACCTGCAAGACGAAGTACGAATTTTAAAATTAATTTACAGCATATTGGATTGCCCTCCTTAGAGGATTTTCCGTCCTGATTCCTTCGATTGGGCTCTGAGCCCTCAAAAAACAAAATATTGCCGTAGGCACGGATCCTACACCCGTAATATCGTTTCCCAATTCATGAACAACTTGATCAGGTGTTGGTTTATTTCCATTTTTTTCGGAAAGAAGTTTTTTCACCAGAGTTAATCTCTTTTTGTAAGGTTGTGGTTCTACTAGACCTAAACTAGTAAAATCCATATTTTAATTAAAATTCGTGCAACAGTTTACTGTTACACAAGTGATTTACTAATCCTAACTTGGATTTTATTTACCCTTCTTCGTCAGCCTCTACAAAATTCATTTTATCTATGAGGTCATCAACAAATTCTCTGGCATCGAATTCATCCTTGGGATGAGAATGTAAGCTTTGTTGAATAGCCATTGCCTAAACAGATGATTAAATGGAATGAATTTCTGTTTTAAGCAACTATTAAAAAGTTGTCCATAGAAGTTTTACCTGCAGTATTGCTCCATCGATTCCAATTTTATGGGTATGTGTAAGCAACGATTGTTGCCTAGCCATATCGATCGTGCGCTCATAATTGTTGTAACAAAATAATGCGATCGGAGTAACTCTCATGGCAGCTCCATTCCCAAAAGAACCTTGACCATTGAACTGTTCCCTTGCTGGAAGTAAAACGTCCGTAAATTTGGAGCCTCTGAGCTTTTTAAAAACCTGAAAGCCAATGGAACACCTTAAATTCAAATTTACTCGCAATTTATGCCTTTTTTTATTGCCATACACACTGTAACAACGCTCTGACCATATCCCCTGTGAGGCTCTTGGTAATAACTCTTGACGAACTTTTTAGCCATATCGACGAGGTCAAGGTCCTTTTTTTCAATCAAAGACTCTGCCACTGACTTTGTCATTGCAGAATCATCGGAGAATTGCATAACTGGCGCTAAAAATGAATATTAATTATTCATCGGTGCAATCGCAAAGAAAAAAAATAATGATTAAAAATTACCTCTGTACATGGGTCCCTCGAGCTTGTCGTAGGAATTTTGCAAAACTACCCGATCACCAGAACTCATGGTTTCCCCTTCGTAAGGGCTTCCGATGCAATCACCCGCCAGACAACCGAGCATGGAGCCTCGAAATTTTTTCCCAAGCAACGAAACATCGAGCTTCGTCATGTTTTTTGTACTGTTCATCTTTTTCGCTGTACTCGAATAAAAATTATTTTCACCAAACAGTCGATCTATTCGAATAAACGCTAAACTAAATATATTTTTAACTGTCAAACACCTCGGAGCACACAGTGATCTGGCAAGGGCGCGTAAGTAGTAGAGTTTGTTTTGTTTCGAAACCACATGGGCCTCTGTGGCCTGTGGCCAGAGTGGCCAGTTGGCCACTTGTAGTCACGTGATTAAGTATAGGTCAGGTCAGGTTAGTCTTGCTTAAAAATTGAAATATCGCCTGTTTGACAAGTTTTCCACGCTTGATTTTCTCTCTGGTCACGACCTGCAAAAGCTCTTTTTGCGATGTTCAGTTGTGAAATTGTTGTTTGACATTGAGTGTGTAGGTTGGAAAAATGTTCCGGACGCCGTTAAAAAACAGTAAAAATGTAAATAAACCGTTCAAGTCACCGTTCGATACTTCTACCACTCCCAACAAGGAGTTAACGAAAAGTGGCCAAAAACCAGGAAGGCTGAGTTTCGTGTCAGAGTCTCCTGTGTCTTTAAGGTTTTTAACAATTTCTTGATTTTCATAGAAAATTTAAAAAATATTTTCAAGCCTCATGAATTTAATCTCTAGAGCTCATGAAGCCAAAAGAGTATTACAACTAGACGACAGTGAGCTGGATAATAAAAGATCAAAGTTAACGCGATATGACAGTGATGGAATTGAAAAAATCGTTCCGGAGAATGCGACAAAAAGCGATTTATTGTTGTTAAAGAGAAAAATCTTTGAGATACGTCAAGAGCTGGATTGTTTGAAATCCAGAGAAAGATGTTCAAAGAAAGTTCGTACTGAAATTTTACATAAAAAATATCTGTTAACTCACACTTAATTAATAAGTGGTATCATTTTTTATTGACAGCATGACCCCAAAGTCTTACGAGCTTCCATAGACAGGTGGCAATCAGCCTGCCAAAGTGCCCTTGAAATCGTTTGTTCCGAATTGACGGAAAGAAATGGCCAGAGCTCAAATATTTCAGATGTCCTAAGTATGCTAGGCATACCAGAGGAATTAGTTCATTACTCAAAGAAAGATGATGCGTTCATCTAGATTTTAAGTAAGTTACTTTGATAATTAAGTTGTGATTATTTATTTATTCTGATATGCACAATAAATTAAATTAATATTGTATGAAAATAAAAATCAAGTATTTTTGAAATTGTAAATACATTTATTTACAAGACGTGATATTGTCGTTCTTCAACATAAAAAAATGATAGTCCATGCATCATTTTACATTTCGTGAAATAATATTCCATAAAAATTATATGCTGTGTTTCTTCTTCTTTTTTCCCTTTTTTTGTTTGTCAGTAAATGTCGTTTCTTGTAGGGTTTGATTTACGTCGTCAGCTGATTTTCGTTTTTCTCCACTTTTAACTGTTAGCAAATTCTTATTTTTACCAGTTTTCAGAACTTTTTCCCACTCTTCTTCATTGCCTTTGATGGCGTACTGAGCAAGCACAGACTTTTCAAGCATCTTACGTTCCTGCTTTGATTTTTCTTGTAACTTTTTAGCTGCAGCCTCCAGTTCTAACTCTACAGCTTCCCCGTTTTCCACATTCACCTTAAGATTTTCTGCTTCGGTGTTTTCTGTTATATTCATTTCAGTTTCGATTTTTTTCGTGATAACTTCCATAAAATATTTCGTGGCCTTGGATGCTATTCTATTAAAAAGTCCCAGAATTTGTGATTTTGCCAACGAAGAGGCATCATTTGACGTAGTTTTGTTCAATTCATCAAGAACTTGGTCAGCTCCTTTGTGCTGAAGACCCATAGACAGTAAAATAGCACATTGTACAGGAGAAAAATGCATGTTACCCATTAGATTTTTGAAGTAAAGTTGCGCAAGCGGAGGTATCAGGTCAAATATAAAATGGTAGTCAGTTTGATTGTTGCCATACATTTCAAGCCTTTCCAAATCTTCAGATTTCAAATACTCGTCCAGTTTTTCTTTTTCAATTGTTGTTTTAGGTAAAGCGATGTTATTATTTATCAAAATTGAAAGTGAAAGTGCAGGCGGGTAGTCCCTATATAATGAAAATAATAAATTAGCTTAAAAAACTTTCTTAAACTTTTTAACGAAACAAAGATTCAGATACATACTTGAATGCTGAGGAAAGCAGACGAATAAACCGTTGTCGGAAATCTTTCCAATAGTTCACCAGCCAATCCGCAGATTCGTCTTGCAAGTTGGACAGCATGATACAGGAATGTTCCCCAGTTATTTCATTGGTAGTTTGTCTTAGATAAACAGGCACAAATTTAGCACGTTTCCAGAACTTGATAAGGGATTCTGTAATTCCAAATGATACCCCAAGATAATCCAAATGCTCTGGACGCCTCTCGGACAGTTTGAGCAATAGAGGTGGCAGGTTCTGCTTAGGCTCGATCGTCTCCTCCAACAAATCGATTTCCGTATCTTCCGATATCTGAGCAATGGAGGTCTTGTCTTCCTCATTGTCATCTGTTTCTAAACTTGGTATGCAACCCTGGTAGTATCTCCTCAGTAGAGCCAAGGCCCGGCTACCGTAGCCCATACCTTGATAATCAGGGTGTGTCGCAATACGAACAATACGAGCACCACTCAACAACGGAAAATTTTTATCAACGAATTGTTGAGCGATGGTCCACGGAATCAGATCGCCCGCCGCTCTCTTGCCTCGCCTTAGACCATTATTTACGGTTGATTTTGAAATCTGCCCCTCGAGACATAACTGAAATTTTACAATAGATTGGTTAATGCAATTTAAAATGAAATTTAAAATCGTGAAAAATTCGTACCTGCACGACAACCAAGATCTCTGGTAATGAATTGCGATTGGGATCTATTGGTCCCAATAAACAGAATAAATGGTGAGCAGGTGCGTCGGACATCATCTGCAGATCATTGGGGGTATTTTTGTAGTGAGAAGAAACGCAAAGGGCCATCAGCCTTTGCAAAAATAGTTCAGAAGCTTTGTGGTAAGAAAAAAGTGTGTCTCTATTGATGTAGTAAAGCTGGCATTCCTCTGGTGGAGGGCAGCCTGATGATATGGAAGTGACACCAATGGTGGCATCGAGGCACAGGAGATCGCACAGCCACTTTTCAACACTGTCTCCAAGATTATATCTTATTGGTTCATCCAAAGTAAGCTCTTGCAGATTCCTTCCAATGATAGCCTTAGCCTCCAAGTCCTTGTTCTGCTTACTTGCCGAGTTTCCTTGCACTGTCTGAGCTCTTAGCTGCTGCAACAACTTGAGAGTAAGAGAACGTCCTGTGCCTTCATAACCATTGATAGTGGATGCCATGAAAGTTAAGTAGGGCCCGAGCATAGCTTTGACGTAAGGTAATGGAATGGCTGCAGCCTCGTCAATGACAAGCAATTCGGCCAAATTGAGTTTACCTTTGGCATCTGCAGGATGAATGTATTGAATCGTCTGTCTATGATCCCTGAATACATTTGCTCTGATGGTTGCTTGATTAAATTCCGGATTGGTCGACTGGAAGAATTCGTAGTCAACGTGTTCTTGGTAATTTAGTGCGTCGAATCCTTTAGCAACAAACTCAAATAGAGTTTTCAAGTTTTCGGGACTGGGACTAGTAATGTAGATATTGGAATAACCAAAGGCAATTGCTCCAGCGATCGCGAGCCCCAAGGCTGCTGACTTACCACGACCCCTGGCAGCTGTCAGTGAAATAGTCGATCTCAAAGTCTTTTCAGAAATAGCTTCGATGAACTTGAGCAGTGCCTTAGCCTGATCAACAGTCTTGCAACAGTTGACAATAGAACCAACGGGCTGAGTGTCCTCCAAACTTTTCTTCATTAAATCTAATTCTGATGATTCTTCCGTTGCTTTTGGAGTGACTTCGATATTCAGATTTTGTGATGAAATTGGCAACACTTGAAGCTGGTCGTCAATAACTAAACAACGCTTACAATTAGCCAGTGACAATAAAAATCTCTCGTTGAACCGACAAACCACATCCTTATGAGCTTCCGTCCTGAACCTTTGATGAACGTCCATGTTCATAGTGTACAACTGTTTTAAAGATTTGACGCTCTGCAGAAGAAACACAACGACTCCACCGCCGCGTACAGTTTCTATGGTCCTGGCCAATAAGTTTGGAGTGACAAATTCGAAATCTTGTATTATACACATGTCGTAGGTATTACCCAAGATCTTGTGGGTTTCTTTATAATAACAATATCGTATTTTTGATGACAAGGCAAATACTTCAAAGGGATCCTCTTCCTTGACATTGAGTTTACCAGCAGTGGCCTTTTTCTTTATAGCCTTCATCTTCTTCTTCCTGTGACTAGAAAAGCCAAGATTCTTGTCGTAGCACCATAGTATTGATGGCTGTGCCTTGACTGTCGATCTCAATAAAATATTGTGGAGAAACATCACTTGGTCTTTTGCTTTGTCGCCAATAATAACAAACATTGTCCTGTGCCCACAGCTGACTCCATCCTCGATGATAGTTCTTATACGGTTGTCTATCTTTTTCCTTACCATTTTTTTACTTTTTACTCTCTCGATTTATCTGAAATATCTTTAAACTATTACTTAAGATAAATTATGTTTTATTTGCAGTCGTTGGAAAGTCAAGACTCACCCTGTCAAATTATTTACAGTGATAGGTTAGTTTCACAGTGCGAGAGATTCAACACGTGTGTACATATTGGACACAGGTGTATTCCGCATGTAGTTATGTCCGATAACTATCGATATCTGAAATATCGATGTTTTTGGCTGCGACAATCGATGGTTTCTATCGATATTTTCCCTACTGATGTATCGACATATCGATGTTAGAATTCAAAATATCGTGGTTAACACAGGAATGGTGAAATGGTACAACCCAATAACTCAGGAACGTTGGAATAGTATAACCCCAAATAACCCAATAAAACAGGAACTCTGGAATGGTATCATAACCGTAATTTGCGAACAAGTAGTTATATTATATCTACCTGTTGCAAAATAATAAAGCTGTCTTAGTATGCTTGCATTTTTCACTTAATCCAACTTCGCAAGTACATGTCATGAGTAAAATTTGACCACTCTCATGAATTCTTCCAACAATTTTTAGAGGCTTATTTTTAATACCAGCTGTTTGTAAACAAAATCTCACAATATTAAAATAAGCCTTTTTTGTTCACTAAAAAGTATAATGTGTATTTATATAAATTAACTACACAGTACCTATTGAGTGTGTGTATACCATTGTAAACATGACAAAGTTTGTTGAGGAATAAAAACTGGCAAGTCAGTTGCTTTGTCAACAATACTACAGGGCTGTTCAAAATACACTTTTCAATAACCTACCTATCACACACACTATAAAAATAGTTAATTAATCTTGATAAAGAATAAATCCAATTGAGTTGACACACTGAAAAGTTTTGAATGCAAAGACAGAAATAATTATTTTGAATAAGGGACATTTATAGATATAATTTGTTCTACAAATTAATTTGGATGGATTGGAAAGACTCCCGTCTCATTGGAAAGGTTCCCACCTCATATATTTTTAAATGGATCATAGGTGAATAGTCAAACTTGTTTTAATTCTCGTATGCTGGTAGCACACGTTGTAACTTTTACAGAAAACTAAGTCTTTCCACAGTCAAATAATTGATGTACTACATCAACATTTACATTTCATCAAATTTTTGTGCTTACAACTTATTTGACTATGGAAAAACTTGGTTCCTTTCGAGGTTCCTTTATAGAGGGTAAAGGGATAATCTGTACAAGTACATGTACCTATGATAGTTTTCGAAGGAATTCGGTCTCTTTGGGATGTCTTGAAAATGAAGAAGGAATCAGAAATGTGCTATACTACATTTTTATTCGAGCATTCGCCAGTTCTTTATTGGTAAAAAATATAATTATCGTTACAGCTGTAGTCGCACGATAACGCAATATTATCGACGTGCTTTTAATCTATAGTTTACATCGCTAACCGATCTTGTTTCGAATTAATCAAATGGTTTTTTTTTTCCCCTCATCTTTCATACATCAAAGATCGAGTGATGTATACTGATTTTCCTTTTATTCTTTCATTTGAATCACAGTAGTACACTGATAATAAATTATTATTATTAATCAATACATATTTTTTTCCCGCTTCATCACATTTCATCATTGCTTTGTTTTGTATACTTTTCAAATTTTTAACATACATATATATATATATATGTGTGTGTATAAGACTTCAAGAAAGGGAAGCGCTTATTATTATAATTAATATACATTTTACGTGATACGTAATGATTGAACGGCAGTGAAATCAAGTCTTTACACAAATTTTATGTTTTCAGGAGAGATCGCGGCTTTTTTTAATTCGCCGTAACTTTTACAATTTTATACAAATCTGATGTTTGAAAAAAAAAAAAAAAAAGTGTCCCGACCTCGAAATACCCCACTAAAATTTATTGATTTTTTAAAATCGTGCACAATATAATGTACATGGTATTACATACGTTTAATGCTTCAATGCGTGCGAATTTTATATACGTAGCCATACAGGAAACAACATCGTTTTGTTCCCCAACAGCTGTCAAAAAAGCTACTGATGTATAATAAATTAATTACTTCTAGAAGTGGGTGAGATATTACGTATACACAAGTAAAAGACGCGTACTATGTGTGTGTCTGTCGAAAATTCAAGGTGGTGAACGTGTGTATTTTGTATGTATATGCTAAAAATATTAAGACGCGCCCGACACTCTTTATCCCTTTCGCGAATATTTTTTATTTTAATCGAGAACAATAACTCGCCACCTCACAATATGTGTACTCATATATTTACAGTGTCACTTTGCGTTGGGAATTTCGGCCATTCGTGTTTGTTCATCGCAAATCAAGGCTCCCTTTCTCCCTTGCAAGAATTTACTTATCCCTTTCAGCTTCATCTACTATCAAACGAACCGATCAACCTTTTTGTTTTCTTTCGTTTGTTCAACTCATTATTTTCTCTCGTTTGAATAACTCGAGGTACATACAATAATAATAATAATAATATCTTTTTGTACTTTAGCACTGAATAATAGTACGATTGCAAACGTTTGTTTATTTATTTTTTTTTTTGTGCTCTCCTCACTGCAACCGTATCGTGTCTTTAACCGATGGCTGTATTGTTTATTTAGAGAATAATTGCGTGTCACACGGCAATGGAATACTCATACGTTATAGAGTTTCCCCTTGCCTCTTTCGTAGCGGATCTACAATATTTACAAAATCGTTTTTTTTTTTCCCTCTCCCTATCTCTCCTCAACTCCAACAGTTTTACCGCTACTGTAATTGCGAGAGAAAAAAATCTATGTGCTATTACTTATAATATGCTTATATCGTAATACTATATTTATGTAATATGTACAAGTCGAGTGATCGGTACTTACATCACTTTATAAATTTAAAAGCTTCGGGAAATGTATAATTACTCATAAGTATATCCTGAAAGTGAAACGAGTGTAATATGTGTGTGTGTGTGTGTGTGTGTGTGAAATATCGAAAATCAGCTACGCTTACAATTTACTTTAATATGTAATTGCTAAACGATTATTTTCCCTCCTTCCCTTTTCAAAATTTATATGTGTCACGCAGAAACTTCCCCCCCCCCCAAAATCTTAATTGTACCGTTACTCTGCACAACCCAATCGAGCTCCCCTCCTTTTTTATTTCCCCATCATCCCGCATCAATTAGTAACAATAAGCCTTACAATGCCATCCAATTAATACCATTTTTGCGTAGACTACGCCCACACACGCGTGTGTATGCAATCGATGATTGATTAACGTCATTGAATCATTGAAAAGCTCTCCCCATCCCATCTCATCTCTATACTCTACTCATAGCGCGTGAGCATATAAGTATACCTATATAACAACGAACAAACGGTGATTGCATTCTGCGATAACAATAAGCGCCGCCGCTGAGGGGGCTCCAAATGAGCCATCATCACAATGTATATGAACCCCGTCCTATACAATGATCAAACACACGGGTGTTTTGCCGATGACGGGGCGTGGGGGACAAACAAACGGAAACTAGCTCGCCTAACCTCAGTAGGGCACGTGTATGTCCCTCGAGTTGGATCTCTTGCCGCAGACGCGACACGTGCACAGTAGACAGCAAAAGCCGAGAAAAACGGCAAGGGCCGCGCCGACGCCCGCGCCCCCGAGGCCCGTCGTGTTCACCAAGTCGGCGAGGGTGGCGTTGACCTCGTCCCCGGGCTCGAGGTTCCTCCCGCTGCACACCTCCCGCGACTCGTCGTCCGCCGGCCCCGTGCCGTTGCCACCGCCGCTCGCAGCTCCCGGCGGCCGCGGACAATTGACCACCCCGTTGCACAGCAGCCGCTCCGGTATACAGCCCGCGTCCCCGGGACAATGGAACGCGCAGTCCTCGAGCTTCTGGACGTTCAACCCGCCCGAGCGGTCCCGCGGCAAGTGGTACAGCTCCGTCCAGGCTATCTTGAACTCGGCCCGCGCCAGCGCCATCGAGCCGACGAACTGGATCGTGAGGCCCGGCAGCCGCTGCGTGTCCCCGGGCGCCAGCTGGGCGGCCGTGATGATGGGCAGCTCGCGGGCGTAGCTGATGTTCTCGCCGCAAACGGCGATGAAGCGCTCCGGTGGCAAGCCCCGCGCAGCCGGGGGCAGGTAGACCTCGAGTTTGCCGTCCTCGCAGGAGCGCGAGCCGAACTTTGTTTTGACAAAGTGCATCCAGAGGTCGCGCTCGCGGCTCACCTTCAGCTCCCAGATGCACTTGATCGACCGTGGCGGCGTGACGTAGCTCAGGGCCTCGTAGTGGGGGAACTCGAGCTCGCCCTCCGTCGTCGGGCCGATGCTCGCCGGGCCGCACAGCGGACTGTGGACGAACTCGTAGCTCGCCTCGAAGAGCGGGCCCGGCTGCTTGAAGTAACTCGTGGCCGCTTGCTCGCCGTCGAGGAGCAGTTTGAGCTCGAGCCTCTCGCCGCTCGACACTATTCGTACCGGGGCCTCGCCGGGGCTCATTTTGCACCTACAGTGGCCCTTGCTGTTGGCCGCGCCGCCACTGCTTACCGGGGTCGTCGTGACCACGTTGCCTCCGCCGGACGATGACGAGGAGGTGGGGGACGGTTCGTAGAGGATGACGCGGTCGGCGCGGTGGCTGTCCCAGCAGTGGCCGCACGGGGCGTAGGGGTGTTCCTTGAAGTTGACCGAGTGTAGGGTTAGGATGACGCGGGCGTAGAGACGGCGGTCGGTGACGAAGCTGTAGGTGCAGGCGAGGTCGGCCGGTGGATCGCCGGGGCGCTTGTACAGGAGGGTGTTGAGGGGCGAGCGTAGCCGGCCGCTGCGGCTCTTCCACGAGGCGAAGACCTCGTCGCACTCGGTGCCGGGGACGGGTTCGCCGAATCGGGTGGCGTTGAAGAAGTCGTAGTGGGCCCAGTAGTAGAGCGAGCTGCCCGAGTAGCTGCCCGTTTTACTCTCGAAGCGGACAAAGAGGGCGTTCGAGCTCGAGACGAAGTCGTGCTTCTCCATGGGTTTGCTGAACGTGTCGCAGAAGGTCTTGATGATGCGGGCGTCGTCGGCCCACTCGGCGTCGTAGAGGGTGAGGCTCTCGGCGCAGTCGCCGTCGTACGGCTGTATGGGCGACTTGATCCGGTTGACCCGGAAACTCGGGAAGTACAGTCGGGCTATCTCGCCCTTGCGGCCGCGCAGTAGGTAAGTGCAGCTCGTGTGCGGCGGGTACCAGTGGGCCACGGAGAGAAATATGCCCTCCTTTTTGTCGGCCAGGCTCTCGCTGCTGAAGGTCCAGTCGCAGCTGCCGTTTTTCGCGCTCGCCGTGTCCACGTCGCCCGGCCAGTTGCCCACGTTGAAGTGGAAGCCCGTGTTCAGCAGAGGACCCGCCGGCGAGGACACGAACTCGACGTACAAGTCCTGCCCCGTGCCGATTATGCTGTACGGAAACTTGCCCATTCCTGCAACGAATTTCTCTGTTATATGTATGTATAGGTACTTGTTCTCAAATAAATACGCGTCTTTAATCCTGTTAATTTTTGTTATTATTGTTTAGGGCAAAAAAATCGACTGACCGCAAAAGGTGCCAATGACCGGGGCAGTCTCGTTGAGTCCATCGTAGATCCTGATGTAGTCGTACGGGCAGTGCTCGGCCCCCGAGCTGATGGGCCTCATGGGACAAGTCATGATGTTCTCGCATCTCTGGCCGTCAATGTTGAACTCCTCGTTCTCGATGTAGAGCTTGATGAAGGGCTGCCTCGTGTTGAGCCTGTACTTGCAGTGCAGGGCCCGCGGGTATATACCCGGGTAAGCCGGGCTTTGGACGTAGCAGGTCTGCAGCCTGCAGTCGTGGAAGCTGCGCTCGCAGTACGAGTCGGGCACTATGACCCCACGGCGATTCGGGTAGAGCTCCGGGTGTTGGCCGTAGCGCAGGTAGACCTCGAGTTGCTGCTCGGCCCGCGAGTCGAAACTGAAGTACGTCTGGTCGGTGAAGTTGTCCGTGTGGAAGAGCACCTTCACGAAACTCGTCTCCGATATGAACGTCTGCGTCTGCTCGCTCTCCCCGCAAAAGACACCCTGCTCCTTGCGATTGTTCACCCCCGTTTTCTGGTTACCGTCCACTATCTGCAACATACATTTTTTTTTTTTTTTTTCTGATTACTTGTCAGCTCATGAAACAATCCCCGAAACCCCCAAAACAAATAAACGTCCAGCAAAACAGACGGTCCATTAAAAAGCCATCGAGTACGTTACACACGTGTGTGCGTATACGTATAATATATGATCGATCGTCATCCACACGTGTGTATACCTATAAACGACGCATCACGAAAACTGGCCTCATTCGCTCATGATCCAACTCGAGGATGAGAAAGGATAATCGCGTTATGCTCGGATAAACGCTGGCTATTTGACTTAATCAGACGCTCTCGTTCTCCTGTTTACTACCCCCCTATCGCGTGGAGGGGGGGGTTGCAGAGAAGCTGATGGTATATAAGCGTAAGCGTCAGATTTCTAGCGCCCCTAGGCTTGGCCTTCCCCTCCCCCCCGGGGGGGTCCTCTCTCGCTCACTCGTTAATATTAACGAGCCCGCGGCCTCCACAAACTTTGGCCCGCTGCAGCTTTACCCTTTGGCCTTCCCTTTCCTGATTACGAGGCACTCTCCCTATGGAGAGCGCTATATTTTGGCTCCGCGGCGGGCAATTAGTTGAATTTGTTTCCACTACCCGCGTGTATACACGTACACATAGGTTGGGCAAAGGCACAGATAAGAACAACGCAGTTACCTGATGGGGATGTATGGGCTGACCGTAAAACCTTGCACGTTACCGCTCGATCGCGGGCTAAGTTGGATGGGGGGGGGGGGGGTTTGTCCGTATGTACCACATGTATATACTATATATGTATTGCGGAGCGCCTAATACGTGCTATAAATCGGGGGAAAGGTTGGCTGCGCGATGAGATAAGGAGGAGAAAGAGGAGGCTTTGGCAAATTTATTGTCCGGTGCTACATATACATATATATATATATACATACCTGTATACGCGTGTACAATGATTTATTTGTATTTTATTTTTCAATGATGAGTAAATTAAGCCAAATTGCAGGGGGTAAGAGTCGGAGAGGGTGGGGATCGCGCACGTGCTTTTCGGACCATAATTCTCGCCCAACCCCCTAAAGAGATAACCCGAGCGCGCTCGTCCTTTTCGTATACGAGAGCTCTGGTTTAACACCTCGAAATTTCGGACTCCAGGCCAGAGGCTGCGCACACGCACGAGTTTTTTTTTTTTTTTTTTTTTTTTTTTTTTTTTTTTTCGGCGCAGATAATTGTAAAACTCGACGCCCCTCACTGAAACTCAAACTTGTATGTTTCATCCACAAAAGCTCCTTATTTTCCCTCTCTATTTCGTAAAAATGCATTTTTCAGCAACACTCGTTTACTTTTCGTTTCTGCCGGCCGGGCGCTCTCTCTTTCGTAATTAATACATATTTAAAACCCCCCGCCTATCGATTTCTGGCGGTCTCCGTGTGTACACATACATAGATACATATACATACCCGTTAAGGCCGATCGGGTGCGGTGACCCTCCCCGAGCATGGAAAACACTTGCGAGATCGATCCTATTGGAATATGGATGAAACGCGTTCCTCGGGTTACACAAAGACAGGGCTCCGTTGGTTCTTTTAATTTATCTCCCAGTGATTTTACTCTGGTGTAAACAAAAAAAAAAAAAGAAAAGAAAAGAAAAGAAAAAAGAAAGAAAAAACACCGGCATTGATGGATAGTCGGCACGTGAGCAGCGTCATCGTGACGAGGAAGAAGAGCGAGATGTGGTAATACATTACAGGGAGGGGGGGGGGATATTCCCGGGAACTTTTGCATGTAAGCGCCGTGACGGTGTAAGACATAAAAAGATGAAGAGCCGCGATTGAGACGCACATATCTCAAAGGGAGGGATAACGATTTTCGGACTTGTTCGAGATGCAAAACCGTACAGAATCACAAAATGGATCCCTTTGAGCGGTTGGAAGAAAAAAAAAAAAAAAAAAAAAAACACAAGCTCCCCAATTGTTGTCGTTTCCCTTACTGTAAACACACCCGTGCGTATACACGAGAACAAGAGAGCGTCATTTTTTGCTCTCGGAGTGCCAAAGAACTCGGCGGATTCACCCGAGAGCGAGAGATAGTATGGACGGCAAAAGAAAAGCCGGAACCGCTTCGACGTCGTTAATGACCGCCAGCCGGGAGATAGTTGTGGTTTTTTGCCCAACGAGGGAGGGAAAGGGAGTCATTATCCTTTTCGGCGCATTGTGCTGCCGCCCTCCCGGGGGACCGCATTAACGAATATCCGGAGCTCCGACCTACACGCGCGCAGAAGGGCTGGAACGAACGCAATTAATTTCGGGGAAATTAGTCGTCGGCTCTTTTCCATACATCGTGCATAATGTAGTGTACAAATCACCAACACAGCTCTCGGAGACGGACGTCTGACCGAACCCGGGCTTTTCTACTTGAACCGCCGAGGCGCGTCAGATAAACGCGCATAAACGAGCAAACAAACAAACGGATGGACGGGCGTTCCCGCAAAACAAAGATGAAAGAGAGAGAGAGAGAGGCCGAGCAGAGTAGCGCGGCAGCAGATAGACATCTTCATTTGGTTAATCGAGCGGAAAGGGTAGGTGGGGTTGAATCTCGGCGCGTTTTCAGTGCATCATATACACACAAAGGTATACACCGGAAAAAAAAAAAAAATTTCTGATGCTTGGCGAAATGAATGTATAGGGTTGGAGGGAGGGCGAGAGGGTAAACAGATTCATTTACGGATAACACTGAGTAACAGCGCAATCGGGGCGTACTTACTCACCCTCTCGTCCGCGTGTATGTAGCCACCAAACTGTAAACCACAGTGGGTATGTACAGCGGGAGAGAGGAGGTGCAGGCATTTTAGCTCTCTCTCTCTCTCTCTCACTAATGAAAAACAAACGTCAGGGCACGCGAGAACAAAACGCTTACGTGTTGTACGCTCTGTACTTACTTACTCCCGGGGAGAGTTGTTGTCGGCCTTTGGCTCGGCTACAATTTTCTGTTTACCCGCGTGTACATGTATAACTATACATGTATATATTGGGGTGTATATACGTTGCACCAGCACCGGAACGATGATAATTAACGAGAAACAAGGGAATATATACGTATAGTGTATAAAGTGTGGGGTGTGTTGTACACGTACCTGCATGTAACCACCGAGGCAGTGGGTCGCGTTGAGCAAAGTGCCGACCTTAAATTTCTTGAAGCGAATCCTGAGTATCATGTCACGGGGAGCTCCGCGGAACGCCCGGAAGCGGTACCAGCAGGTCAGAGGCTTGCCCCAGTTTTCGGGACTCACTCCCGGGCTCGACACGTCCTCGTAGATGTCCACGGTTTTGTTGCAACGCTCGCGATCCGCTGAAATTCAACATCATATATTTTCATCGTTGCTATATTTTTTTTTTTTTTTTTTTTTTTTAATTACTACAGGTTTTGCAAAAATGGTTTTTTTTCCTATTTTCGCCTCCAAAGTGCAGAGGCATGAAAAATAAATAAAACGCTCGGAAAGGTAAATTACGAGGTTTTTCAAAAATAGGAGGAAAGTTAATTGGTTCTATCGTCAAATCCTTTACAACTGTTTGATGAATATGTTGTGTATGAATAACTGAATAATTTAATGTATGAATTTATATGACAAGTTTTGCGGAAATTCAAGAACAAAGAATCCAACTTTTTTTTCCCCCCCCTGTAATTTTTTCCATTAGTAGCTTGTCAGGAGTTAAAAGCACGTTAAGCAAAGTTCGCGGAAAAGAGCGCGCGAGATTAATGAAGTTTCGTTTACGCTGACCCGAATCTGGCAAGATTCAATTTATCGTCTGTGACTTTGGTTCCCGTGGCATTATTTTTCGACCCAACGGGTCTCGCTTGGGGGGTATTTTTTTTTTATTTGGTTATTATTTTTTTTCTTTTTTTTCCGTCCTACTTTACTTTACGATCGGCAGAAGCGACATTTTTCACCAGACTTCAACCAGAAAATGGTCGCCGATCGTGCGGTTTTTTCTTTTCGCGGAGCACGTCAATGGAGCTTTCAAATGCCAAGCCAAAGCTCCGCTGACACACTTTATTTTATATACACCCTCGTCCCCGTTTTCAATTAAACACGAGCCTTTTCACCACCAAACGAGTACAGTTTCGTCACATTTTCCAAAAAACAACAACATTTTTTCCTCCATTTCTAAAGCTCGTACCTCATCACGAGTGCTTAGGGAAACAAAAATATAAAATTCAAGTCTCCCCTCGATACATTATCATTTGAATAATTAAGCCGTGCAATAATATTCCACGCATTCCGCTCCCCTCGCAACACACAATACACACAGTGGAGGCATAATTAATCCGACGCTCGTCGAGGATTTCGGAATTCCGTGTTAATTTGGAATTCAACGAAATCCCGGTCTAACGAACATTGCTTATTACCTAAAGAGTGAAAAAAACAAAAAACAAAAAAAACAAAAAAAAAAAAAGTCCACATTGATCCGGACGTTGTACGCGTATTAACAACAACGCAAGCGCATCGGGTAGGAAATACAAGAGAGGAAGCGGTCGAGCGTAAAATAATAGCGTTAGCGCGTACCGCAGCAGTCAGAGAATCAGAGGGAGAAGGGAAGAGGCAAATAACCATATAGAAATCATCGTGTACGACCACCTCCGCAACGATTAAATTACGTTGTGTGTCCGCAACGAGGTGTGCACGATCGGGGGGTTGTTATTCACCCTCCCCCAAGCTATTACTATATACGCGTACATCATGCGCGAGCAGCTCGAAAATAATGATGATGGCAAATTCAATTAACCCTTGGCTGGACTTGAGGGAGGGGAAAAAAAAATAGGGGAGAGAGAGAGAGGATGGAGGTAACAAGTCTATCGCTGAAACCACTCGATTGGAAAAACAGACGACGGAGAGAGGATAGGACGAAGATCGTGTAATGCGTTAAGTGGGCGAAGGGTACGAGAAGGAGTGGGTCCGAGGCCGGATTAGAGGCGCTCGGGCGTGTATTCTAATAAGATTTTCAGATCGAGAGTAAGAGAGGGACAGCCTTGCCGAGGGTATCGGAATTAAGTCTCTGCGGCGGAAGGCCGGGCTTGCTATAGCTGCTGAGAGTGCCACGGCCACTAACTTTTTTTTTCCTTCTTCTTCTTCTTCGTTCTCTGCTTCTTTTTGGACTTGTTCGAGATGCAAAACCGTACAGAATCACAAAATGGATCCCTTTGAGCGGTTGGAAGAAAAAAAAAAAAAAAAAAAAAAAACACAAGCTCCCCAATTGTTGTCGTTTCCCTTACTGTAAACACACCCGTGCGTATACACGAGAACAAGAGAGCGTCATTTTTTGCTCTCGGAGTGCCAAAGAACTCGGCGGATTCACCCGAGAGCGAGAGATAGTATNTCTTTTTCCTTGGCCCGAGGGCAAGTGAGCAGCCGAGACGAGAAAAGTCGAGCAGTGGTGCAGATTTTTCGGATTACCACCGCGACGGCGAGCGTCGATGGTACATATATATATATATGTACGTACCGTTGTGTATATTATATTGTCATTGTTATCGGAATTTCGCCGTGGCATCGGCCTACTTTGTATACTTCTCGGAGGAGAGGGAAACGTATACATAAATGAAATGACCGCGTGACCATTTAAATATGTATTTTTGTGCCAAGGTCTGTGCACGTCAACCTACAGTGTGTGACTTAACAATATGACATCCGGAAAAAAATCGATATCGCTTTAAATTTGCATTGATTATACGATTATCAAGTATTATTATTATTATACAGGCGAATTTGAGCTCAAAGGTCAAAGGTGATACACCTAGAGTGCTGCCAAGAAAATGAGGCACTGCGATCTGGCTCATTGGCATTTCTTGGTATAGATACCAATGACGCAACAAGCCCTATATATTTCTTGCGCTGCAAAAAATACGATTTGTAGAAAATTTGCAGCCAAAGCCGTCGTTCTCGATCACAGGATTTGTTTTTCTACCAAAAAGTGGGCCATCTCTTTTTACCCTCGGATGGAGACGGAAAGAGCTTGTCCATACATGTGCACCCTCTCTTATTTCCCTTTTTTTTATTAAGTTTGTACGCGCCTCTATTTGCAGATTTAGGTATTACAGAGGTAAAATTAACATGTTTGATGCGCACGTCTATTTCATCATTATTTGAAAGCAATGTAAACTAATTTAACTTTTTTCATTGCAAGTACGGTAGCCCGAAGGAGATTTTTTTATCCTCAAGTACACTGCAAGTGAGGACAAAGAGACGCAGTTCGTTTGAGTTGGAAAGAAGTACGTTCAAGTAATGGTAATTATTTTTTTTTTGTGCTTTTTGTTTCAAGCCATTGTATTACTCGAAAGCTCGTTGTTTTACCGTTGTACAAAATAAAGTTGTAAAGACTCACGATGTGGATGAAAATTAATATTATTGTAATACTAATGATTTTCAAAAAGAGCTTATTTGGCGCATCCCGTAAGGAACAATAATTCATTCTTTTTGCGTGCTTCGCCCCGGTAACAAAAGAAATCGTCATCATCATTATCCCCAGAAGCAGCGCACTCATCGCTCATGCATGAACGCTAATGCGCAAAACAATCCCTGCATGCGTCGGGGAGGAGAAAAAGGGCCACAAATCTCTTTTTGTCATCCGAAATTGCGCACCTCCCCGACCCCGGTAATCGATATTCGACCTCTGCACTCTAGCGATCATTTTAATTCCAGGTCTGGATTTCCATTTCCCTCCCCCCCCCTCCCTCGCTTCCTTTGTCGCTCCTTGATTTTTTTTCTTCCCCAAGATCAACCGAAGCTCCTCTCTTTCACGGGTGACGGGAAACCAAAGACAGAAAAATCCCTCGATCGCCGATTGAGTCCCCCCCCCCATCGTGTTTTTAATTCGCCAGCGAATTCAATCTCTCGCCCTTTTCTCCGTACATACATACAACTCTCTCTCAATCTCTTGCCTTTCATAGCTTGATCTTCTCCCACGGGCTCATTGGCAAGAGCAATGGGAAAAGAAAGAAAATCTCTCTCTCTCTCTTTGGCTCGCGTTACTTATCGAAATCTCGCACGCACTGCACGCCTTCGGAGGAGTTGGCACCGCGCGGCGTTGGAAAAACAGGTTAGAGTCCCCCCACAACTCCCCTTTTGGGGGGAGTTACGCGCGCGTACACCGATCGATCCACTTGCCCTCCTCCTCCTATATTATACATACCCACACCTGCAGCACACAGCCAACTGCTCGTGAAGGTACAGGGCTCCTTTTCCTCCTCGTCCAACGCAGCTACGCGTCTCTTTACATTCGTTCCAATTGCGAGATATTGCTGCTCTCTGTACTCTCATTTCGCGAATCCACTTCAGCCCCATCATTGACGAACGCGCGTCTCTTTGCCTCTCCCGAGATTGCGCACTTATACAATTCGTTCGAGGGAAAGAAAGAAGAAAACCCCCTTTGCACACGGGCGTAAATGTATATACTTTGTTATATATCTATACAGAGCTCGAATGAGCTGTACGGAGATTACTTTGTTTTCACGCCACGCGCGAGTATACCCGAGTGAAATGGTTTTTAGATATTACGTATACCTCGGAGTCTTCTCTGCCCGAAATTGTTGTACATGTACGCTTTTAGCGGGTCATAAGGCCGAAGCGGCAGTACCGCGTGCACGTATATTAGGGTGGGAGAGGGAGCAGCTTATTACTTTAGAAGTATAAGCCCCGCGTGCTCCCCACGCGCTCTCCTTTCTCCTTAATTTCCTCCGCCGCGTAATTAAAATTCAGAGCAGCGCCCCCCCTTTGCCCCCCCCCTCGCCGTCGTCGACGTCGCGTGTAATCTGATGCACCGTGCGTCAAGCCAAGGGGGGGTTTTTGGCTCTTCGAATCCTCCTCCTCGTGCCGACCATGTAATTCAATCGAGGGAGTGCCGGCTCTATTAGCCCGTACATGTCGTACACGTATAATATGGAGCGGAAAATCCCTTCAGTCGAGAATACTTTTGAGCGTATTTTGAATGTAGGTATACATATTTGCCGTTGCACCGCCGCGCTGATAAAACACACAGAGATTCCCCTTCCGAGTAGCGCTGGGGTTGAATTATATCGCACTTAATTCCTCGATCTCCCTCGATTCGTGGGTTATCGCGTCGTCTCCCTCTCGGTGATGCTATTCACTTTTTTATCTTCCTCCCCCCCCCCTTCACTCGCGCGCGCTTTTCTCCCATTTTTTCACGTCTATACCTCTTTTTCATTCTCCGCGCGTGCATTTTCCATTTCGCGCGCCCCGACCGCTCTCTCTCTCTCTCTCGGTATACCTCGAAGCGCCGTCATTTGCTGCTATTTTTCACCTGTCGTCCATCGGCCGAGAGAGAGAAAAAAAA